GCTCTGAACCCGAGGCTTTGTCCCTTCCTAACCCTTCCTGGCTCTCACTGGCCCTCTCTGGCCCTCTGTGACCTTTGTTGGCTTTCTCTGGTCCTCCATAGCCTTCCATGGTCTCCCTGGCCTTCCCTGGCACCCACCTGAGGTCCAACAAACTCAGCCTGTCCAAGAAACCCTCCAAGGGTCAGGGAGAGGGAGAGGATGGAAGATGGGCTTCCTCCCTTGAGGCCTACATGATGGGTCTGCTCTTGGTCACCTGCTGGGGTTGCTTCCTGGACCCGGGTCCAGCTGTGGGAACGGGGAGGGCAAAGAGGCCAGACTCCGGGTGGGAGGAAGAGCTAGAGGAAAAACAGGAGAGGGGAGGGCTGAGGGGGCCCCCAACTCCAGCTGCACAGATCAGAGGAGGTCAGACCAGGCAGGCTGGGAGGCTTCCTGGAGGAAGAGTCCTGTGTCCGCATTCAGGTGCTTAGACCTTAAGATTGTGTCCGCATCTGGCTGTCACGGCCGAAGGTGCAAACCGAGCCCAGGGATTGCCGTGGGGCACATACAGCCCATGCCACCCTCCCTGGAGCCACACTGGGAGCCGCGTTCACACAGAGATGTCGTCCTCCAGGCCCTGGCCAAAAAGAAGGTGCCGGTTGAGGTCTGGAGGACACAATGGGTCAAGTCCTGTGGACGCCTCACCTCCCGAACGCCCTCAGCATGTTGGGGTCAGCAGGAGGGTCCACTCGGGCCAGTTCAGGGCTGAAGGGTGAGAGCTGGTGAGCCAGGCACCTGGGGATTAAGTCCTTGCTCTGCTGCCCATGGCTGTGTGGCCTTGGGAAAGTAACATAACATCTCTGAGCCTCGGTTTCCTCATCCATCAAAAGGGAACCCAAGGAGACTCTTCCCGCCTTGGTGGTGAGGGTCCAGTGGGGCGATGGGTGTGAGTGGGGAGCCCCCCAGGCCCGTTGCCATGGTGTCCGCAGGTCCTCTGAATTGTATTCTCAGCTCCTTCCCCAGTAGGACAGGCCGTGGTCTCAGGCTGCCTCCACGCGCCCGGCATGCACCGCGCTGTCCTCTGTGGGCCAGGCGTGTAGGTGAGGAAGGCCGAGGGAGGACCACGGGCGCAGGGCGCTTCTTGCGGCTTCTAGCTCTGCATCCCCAGCACGTTACTTCCCCTCTCTGGGCCTTCGTGCTCCACAGGCTGCTGCCCCTCCAGGCAGCAGAGGCAAAAGGCCACTGATGCGTCTTCCACGGGAAAGGAGCAGCTCCTCACCAGCAGGGGTGGCCTGTGGGCACGTCGGGGTGCTGGGTGGGGCTTGCCAGGAAGAACAGCTCCCCAAGGGAGGAGGCCCGGGGCTGGGGTCGTGGAGGGCTCACACATCTTGAATGAGGCCGAAAGCAGGATGAGGGAAGGGATGTGCATGGCCCAGGGGATCTGGGGCTCCCTTGTGCCCGGCGACAGGGCAAGACTCCCTGCCTGGCCAGTCCCCCTCCCCCCAAACTCCAGAGTCCTCTCAGGTGGCCGCTTTTACCCAGGACCAGCCGGGGCCATGACTCAGCTACCAACACCCAGGAAAGAAGGTTCTAGTGCCGTCGGTCAGGGGAGTCAGGGGCAAACATCCTTTTGCATTGAGAGAGTATAATGGTGAACAATAACAAACACGTATTAGTACATGGTCTGTGCTGGACGCTGACCTAAGGGCTTTCAGGCACCAGCATGGCAAGCCTGTGAGGTCAGAGGCACGTGGCCGCCCAGGGGTGCCCGGGCTCGCCCGGGTCCTCCCGCAGAGCAGGGATTTGAGCCGGCTCAGCCTCCAGGCCCCCTCCTGCCCACTCCTCTCCCCTTCTGGGTACACCGCACTGTGAGGGGTACAGCATGAGCCCTTGGCCCTCCCACTGTGGCCTTGCTGCCCTGGGGTGGCCTCACCCTGGCCTCTCCAGCTGCCCGCACAGAGGTGGCCGGGTCAGACGGGTCCCAGTGGTGCGGGGCTCTCGGGACGACTGGTGAGTTCAGCATGGGGGTTCCGTTTCCTCCCCCTCTTCTCTCGGCTCTCAGGTTTGGTAAAGTGGCTCTTCTGTTATCCTCGTGGCAATATTGATTTCTAGGACAGCCAGGTGTTTTCTGAGGCTGCGGGTGCATTTCTCGATGTGGCCACAAGGTGCCAGGCTCGGGTCAGATTTGGAAAGCCCTGCGGGGATTGTGGGTCGCGGGCGCAAGATTCAGCCCCTGAATCTGTTCTCGGGGACCCTGCCTCAGGATGGGGGTCCCAAACGTTCTGCTCCAGAGCCTCTCAGTAATGAATCTGATTTTACTGATATAAACATAATACAGTTTTCTCTAATTCTCAGAACACAGCGGATGTTTTGGGAAGGCGTCCCGGGTTTAACCTGTGCTCTAGGCACCACCTCGCCACACCCCTGGGATCGGAACCGCCAGAGAGGAATTCCCCTGGGCCTCCTTCCACCGTCAGTTCTGTAATGCCAGGGCGGGGGGCAGAGGAGAGCCTCAGATCCAAGCGCAAAGGTGCAGAGCTCACCAGTACCCCGACACTGCAGGGGGTCTCCCCCTTGCAGGAAGAATGTTATCACTTTGCCCCCAGCCCTCTCCCCAGGGTGCCCCAAGATTGCCGCTCCGAAGAACTTTTGAGATGGGCGCTGTAATTCTAGAAGTGACCACCAGGTGTCAGCATGAGGCCACTTAAGCAGCCAAGTGGAGGAAACTAGGGAATTTCTAAGGGTCCTTTAAGTCTCTCAGGCATAAATAGGATCTGACCAGAAGCCCAGGATGGGATAACCCTCTCTCAGGCCTAAGAGGCAGTGGGGCAGTGACGTTTATGCTGTGAGGTGCACCCCGAATTTGTCCCTTCTCTCCCACTACCCTGTATCCCCTATAGGCCATGTGTTCCCACCATGGACAGTACATGGAATGTCGAGGGTCACAGCCCTCACACCCACAACACTTCTAGTCCTGACTCAGTGGCACCATGGCCTAGCTAGTCCCCCATGGGTGCTCCCCACCCTGAAACCCTTTCTCTGCTCGCCTTCCTTTGCTTAAACACTCTGGGCTTCAAGAAGGCTCTGATGGAATAAAACAGCCCTGCATTGGTGTGATCCCCTTTGGGGCTGTGCCAGAAATGGGGATTCACACTAGGGCAGAGCTCAGATTCGATACACTGTTTTAGGGGTGGGAGGTTCCACATTTCCAAGAGTTTGATCTGTGGGTCTGAAAGGCTGCTCCCCTTTCAACCCCTTAGCTGCCCACCTTCTCAATTTGAAGACACCCCCTTTGGTGGGCCTTCCATGGAACCCCATTATCTGACGTGGGGTCAGCCCTTCACCCTCCCTAGCCCCACCTGAGGCTTGGGAAGTCCCAGATAAGTTTCTCTGTGGGGACCTGCAAGTAGCTCCTTGTGACACCTGGGCATCCGGCAGTGGACACTGGAGTCGGGGGGGGGGGGGGCGGGTATAGGTGTGTGGCACAGGCTGTGAAGACTCCAAAGCCACAGAACCCAAAGCAGAGCCAGCGTGAGCAAGTGACTGCTGCATCCCCCCAATTGTGGGCTGCTTCACACTGAGTCCCCTCTCCGTGCCCTGGACCTGATTCAGGACCGTTAGTATCCCTGCATCCTTCCCCACCCAAGAGACCAGTGAGGAGGCCCACCTGCCCTCCTCCCAGAGGATGGTATGGCTCTGGGGCATCTGCATTTTGTTTAGGACACCCCCACGAGATTTGAGTCCCCCCAAGTCTGACTCTCTTCCCCACTGAAAGCCCTGTCCTCCCACCAGATGACGTATACCTCCAGCTAAGGAAGGAAGTTCAGGTGAGGGCTTGAAAGACAAAGGGAGAGGGGAGAATTAACCCCCAACACAGGCTGGTAAGCTGGGGTGCAGGGGCACAGGGAGGGTGTGGACTGGTGGTCTTCTGGGAACGGCACGTGTCTTTGCCTCTTAGTGAGTCTTTGATCTGCTTCCTGCTCTACCTGAAGGCTCAGGAAAGTTTAAGTTCCCAGTGAGACTTAGTCTATAATCAGGCAGCACTTCTATCTGGGTCCCCACCACCACCACCACCAGCTTCTGACACCTCCGAGTCTATGCCTCAACTGGAGTTTCCACCAAGCTCAAAAGACTGTGAGCCCCAGTCGTCCCACCCAGGGGTACCTGTGAGCAGGACACTGCTGCTCGCTACCTGCCGCCTTCCATTTGCTTCAGCATCTTTGGTGCCCAGCACCACACATAGGGGGTAGGGGGTAGTATCAGATGTCACTAGGGAAGGGAGAAAACTCCCAGGTGAGTCCTCTGCCTCTGGAAGAAGGACGGACATGGCCGCATTGTGTTGCAGCTGTGTTGGGAGCCCATGAAGAAAGATTTTTCTGACCATTCTTGAACCCTGGCTTTTTCCCCATTATGCCCCGCCCCCATTTTACCCGTGCCACGCCCACTGGCATGCCAGGGTGTCAAGTGACTGCCAAGTGTCAATCTAGTGAGGCCCTACCCACTCTCCACCCCCTCCGAAGAGTCCCACCTTCCAGCTGGCAGGGAGTGCTTCCGGCTAATGCCCACGCCCACAAACGCCTTTCTGCCAGGCTAGGGGTGGGCCTGATCTCCACCCCCTAATGCGCTGTGCCCTCGCGTGGGAAGGTGCCAGAGCCAGCTGCCCCGGCACCACCAAGTTGGCGCAAAGCTACCCAAATTTCGAGGGGCGTGAGGAAAGGCGTGGAGGGGACGAGGAGGTGAGGGGCGAAACTATAGTTTCAGCTGGGATTTGAGCAGGTGCCGTGCTCAGTGGCGGCGAGGCTCCCCTGCTTCCAGGGGCCTGTTATGATGCACACTTTGAAAGTGCCCTTCATCGTCTCTCCAGCCTCAGCCTCGTGCCCCTCCTCCGCCTCTGCGGCAAGCCGGCTGGAGGGTCTGGGCGGCACAGCCAGAGCCCCCCCTGCTTTGGCGACGACTGCTAATATCGGCCCGGCCAGCGGATCATCACCCGGGCAGTGTCGGCAGAGAGCCTGGGGCACCAGCGACGCCCCAGTCCTTTTTATCCACCGCCCGGGAGCTTCGGGGACTACGCAGCGGCTAGAGTACAGGTGACTGGGCTTCCCTCCCTCCCCTTTGAGTGTGTGAGAAAAGCTGCAGTCGGATCTTTCAGGTGTGGGTGGGCCGGGGGCTTGGGGCTGGGGCAGTTAACAGGAGCAGAGAGACCTCTGCGCCAGAGGACGCAGGCGAGCTTCGACTTCGGAGGGGACAGGAAGGACAGGTGGAGAGGGGGCTCTTCTGTAGAGCTGCCCAGAGCCCTCGAGTCTTTTGCGAGGAAAGTAAGTTTTCCTTCGTGCTTCTGCAAAATGGGAGGGGCAGAGGCGGAGGGTAGGGCTGCTCTTTTCAGCAGGAAGGCACAGCTGTTTTTGCAAATGTAAAAGGCAGGGTTTTTCTGCGTGAGAAATTCCCTCTTGCTGCACCCCACCCTCCCCGACGGCAACCAAAGACAAACAGGACACTGCAGAGGGGCGGGGCCCTGAGATTTTCGAGCTGTTTTTTGGTTTTTTGATGCCACTTAAAAAGTAAAGCTTCCCTCCTCTCTCCCCACTCCCTACAACCCCCCCCCAAAGAATCCCACTATGTCATTGGAGAGTGAGAAGGACAATGAAGGGGCAATGCCCCTTGGGGCCCCACAGCAGGATTTAGAAAGTAAAGCTTCTCTCCTCCAGAGAGTGTTCTCCCGGGCCCCCTCCCAGCTCCCCCTGCCCTGGGGAGTTTCGCCAGGAGTGCATTATTTTGTGCGTGACGTGTTTCTTCCCACCACCCAGGGTCCCAGACGCCTCCGTCCGGCCAGGGTGGTGTTTGTGGGGAAGAGGTTCATTTCCCCAGAGAAGCCCAGCTTCCCCGGACTCTCAGCTGCCTTCCCAAGGCAGAGCTGTGTCCTTCGGTTTGTGCCAGGCTCCCCCTCCTTGCTTCCATTCCAGGTGGGAATGCTGGGGAGTACAGGGGAGAATTTTGATAGCGTGTGCTGTGATCCCCCAAGGCAGGCTGTTCGTGTGCAGCCCCCAGCCCCCATGCCTAGGCAGAAGTCCACAGCAGGAAGGGGCAGCCTGTCCAACAAGAGGGTGTCGTGGTGTTCCATGGGCACCTCTGCAGGCTTGGCTGCTGGGAAGCCCAGCTCTGGGTGAACTGTGGGCACTTTCCTCCTTCCCTAGTGCTTTAAGAAAGGGAGAGCTGGGCAGCCAGAGGGACCGGAAGGGGAGCCACCGCCCAAACCCTGACAAGGTGACCTGCAGGCCTCTCCACCCAACAGCCAGGGGAGGGGCAGGGGACCAGGGCCCTGGCTTGGGGGGGGTGGATTTGTTTTAAAAGCGGTCATCTTAGGATCACCCTTTCGCTTCTCCCCAGGGGCCGAAGAGTCACCACTGAGCTTGAGGAAGAGGAGGTGGATTCTAGCTCCCAGCCCCAAGGCCCCACATCTCCTGCGGGTCAGCTCCCTGCCCAGGCTGCCCCCCAGCCTGAGCCACAGCCCGAGCGCCAGCCGGAGCTGCAGCGGGCCAGAGTCACCCGAGACCCCAGCCCGGAGGTCAGCTGCTGTGGCCTGTGGCCCAGGCGATCCCCACCCGCTCAGAACTGAAGCCGGCAGTCAGCTCCAGCCCCACAGAGGTGAGTGATTCCAGACTCCCGGGACAGGACCCAGCGTCCCCTGGTACAGATCTCTGTGCAGCAGGCTCCGTACAGGGGCCTGATTTCCTTTGGTGCTCAGAGCCCCCCAGGCAGTTTTAGTTCCCATCCCCGTTTTGACAAGGAGTGGAGGCTCAGAGGGGCTGGGGGTGTGTTCAGAGTCACACAGCTGGAATCTGGGGTTCAGGTGGTCGGCTCCAGGTGCCTCTCTCCCTGGGGAGCTCCCTGCAGTCTGGGCAGCAGTGGCATGGTCCTCAGAGGGGAGCTCCTGGTAGAAGAAGGACAGAGGAAGGGGGAGGGGAGCAGCGTAGGGGAGAAGCCAGGGAGGGGGTCAAGGTGAGGACAGAATTGGAGGAGGGGGGAAGAAGGAGGGCACACCGGGGAAAAACTCATACGCTGGGGAGGAATAGGGGACCCCGGGAAAGCTGGGCTCAGCTGGGGAATGTGAGACCCAGTCCTCCCTGTCCTGGGCTGCTGGCTGTGGGTCCTCACACTAGTGGTTTGACCTCACTGTGTCCCCATTTGTCAAAGTGGGCAACAGTCGCAGCCCTCCTGGCTGTTGAGAATTGTGAGGCGCAAGTGAGGTATGACCAGAGGCCGGGAGAGGCATTCTCAGTGCTGCTGTCATGATTCCATTGTGTTCAGGCCGGCGGGGCTTCCTGTGTGTGAGTGGGGGCCGGGGGGGGGGGGACTAGAAAGGCCCAGGGGCCAGAGCCTCCTTGGACACTTCTGGAGCCAGCTCCGCGGTGGTGGCCGCAGGGTTCACGCATCAGGTACCGGGGTGGGGGCCCAGGCTAAGCTGCCCCAGAGGGGCGCTCGCTCCAGGCTCGCGGAGAGCTTTGGAGGTGGAGGTGGGTGGGTCTGTGTTCTTGCTGCTGACCCCAAAGCGACAGAGGCCACTCTTCAGGGCCTGCAGTAGGGGACCCAGCAGGTGCCCCCTTGCAGGCTGGTCTGCCCATCCGAGAGAGAAACCAAGAACGTTTTTTAAAGGTGTCTTTAGTTCAGACACTACATAAAATAGTACAATAGTGGCTACGCCTCGGTCCTTCCCGAGGGCGCCTGCTTGGCCCCCTCCCCTGCTGCCCACACACCGACCCATACGTACTTCTGACTTTTGGTTTATTGATCAGTGGCTTGTGGTGCCTTGTGCCTGGGGTGGCTCGTGCCGTCGGTTCCTGGCGTTCCAGCTGGGGCCTGGGTCCTCTGCCTCCAGCTGGGCTGACCGGAGCGGGTGTCCCTCCTAGATTGGAGGGCAGTGTCCTTGCCCCCAGTGGCGGGTGCCCTGCGGGGTGGGGGGTGAAGGAGGGGCGCTCAGGGGACTCTCGGAGAACGAGCCGGGTTTGTAAAATGCTGGGCTTAGTCCCAGGGAGGGGGGGGGGCGGCCAGCTCGGAGCCAGAGCGGGGGGGGGAAACGGGGGGGGGGGAAAGGCGGGCGGCGGGGGGGGGGGGAGCGAGGGAACCGGCAAGGCAGGAGCATCGGAGCCACGGGCCTGGGTGCAGGGGCTGGGCTTGTTGGGGTGAGTCCGAATCTTTGGGGGGATGATTATTCTCTTTGGAATATGGTTTGCAGATCTAGAGGGGCGGCCAGGGCTGCTGCAGGGTGAGGGGGGGGAGGTCGTTAGGGGTGGGGGGGGGAATGGCGCTTGGGGCTGAAGTTCCTACCAGCCAAGCCCTGTGCTGGGGGAGACCCCAGCCCCACGACATGCCCGGCTTTCTGGCAGGTCCCTTCCTACCATGGGGGGCCGGAAGTCGGGGCGACCTGGGCGGCTGGTCCTGGCTGGGGGCGGCCAGTGCCCTTTTTGAGCCCCGCAGCGACCCGGATCTGACCCCTGACAACCCTGCCCCTTTAGCCGAACTCGTGACTAAATAAGGCGAGGGTTCAGCAGGCAGCCCCTCACGGGGAGGAAGTGCATCTCTGCCCCCCTCCCCTCGCCCTGATGGCCCAGCCTGGCACCCCAAGGTGGCCTCAGCCGTCTTACCTCCAAGGTCCAGGTCTGCAAGCACCGGCGGCAGCTTCTCCAGGGCTGGCGCCTGCTCAGGGCACAAAGCAGGGGAGCGGCTCACCAAAGGGCCGCTGGCATGGATGCGCCCAGGCAGCCCCACTGACACACGTCTCACCCCAGCCTTCCGCCACCCCCAACCTGGGAAGTACTGGAGGAGAGGTGGGGAACCCAGAGCAGGGCCGAGGGCAGCAGAGGCCCTCATCCAGAACTTGAAATCTGCTCTGGGATCCCAGGGAGCCGGGTCCGCAGACAGGCACTTAAAAATACTCCTCGCCCCCAATTTACAAGTTGCCACAGAATAGGGAGCTACGCAGCCAGGCTTCCCTTCCGGAGGCTCCCTCCTCGCCTTCCCTCCTATAGGCATAGGCCTGAAAGCCAGGGACGCGGGGGACTGCAGAAGGCTGGTGGAGGGGGGAAGGGGGGCAGTGATGGGCGGGAGGGGGGGCGAGACAGGCCAGATGTTCTTGGAATGGACACGGGGGTGATTGATACGGACTGGAATTTGAAGGGGGAACATTCCCCACGTGCCTTGGGCTCTGGGTGGAAAATGGGCTGTTTTTTTTCATAGGTGGGGGGGGTGTCCTCCCTGTCCTGCCAAGCTCCTGTGAAAGGGCTGCCTCAGCCCTGCCCAGTCCCCACACCTGTCCAATGGCCTTAACCCCTGCCTTCCCAGAGTGTCAGGCTTTGAGGTGCCCCCCTTCTAGCTGGGGTCCCTCTGTGGGGTGACAGCGGGGACAAGCGACGGCCGGCATACCGGTCCGGAGGCCCCGCCATTCTGCTGCCCCCAGCAGCAGCCCCTCTCTGGCAGCGCCCCCAACCCACAGATGCCCCTGGGGTGGCTCTCCCCCACCTCCCACATTGCCCAGTTCCGAAGGGGTGATCCAGTTCCCGCCAGTGCCTTGGGGCTGGGTAGGATTCAGTGTTTGTCTTCAAGGAACTAGGCTTTCACAGCTCGGAGGGGGAGGCTTTTCGTGAAAATTCTCTTCGAGAAAAACGAAAGGAGACCCCTGACCCCCAGCCACCGTGCAGGCCTGCCCCCCATCTCTTCCCCCGACTTTCTTCTCCTCTTTCCCAGGCCTTCTGCTCTCCCGCATCACCAGAACAAAACTGGGTTCGCTCTCGTTTGGGGGCTGGGGAAGGCCCGGACGGCGCTCGCCGGAGCGCCGGGGCGAGCAGGGGGTGGCCGCCGGGGGTGCTCCCGGGCCCCCAAACCGAGCCGGGGACGAGCCTGCCCGCGGCGGCGGCCCGGCCGCGGCTTCGCCTAGGCTCGCAGCGCGGGAGCGCGTGGGGCGCGGCGGCGGCGGGGAGCCCGCGGGCCTCCTCGCAGGCGGCCGAGCGGGGAGCCCGGAGCCCCGGGAGCGTCGGGGGAGCAGCGCCCCATCGCTGCCCCGCAGCTCTCGGGTTTCTCCCTTCCACCCCGACGCCCGCCCGGCCGGGCTTCTGCACGGAAGCGCTCTCAGGGCCCAGGAGGCAAAAGCGGGAGAAGCCATGTGCCAGCCGGGGTGGAGGGCGCCCCTGGGAGTCCCGCGCACCAGCCCCGGAGCTGCTACTGCCGCCGCCGCCGCCGCCGCCGCCGCCGCGCAACCCGCGCTCGCGTCCCCCGGGGAGGGCGCCACTGCTCCGCGCGAGTCCCGGGGGCGGCGGATCCCCAGCGGCGGGTGCTTCCCCGGGCCCCGGAGCTCAACCTCTCAAACGCAGCCCTCCATTCCCAGGGTCCCAACCCACCCAGCACCTTCCCCGCTCCTCTGGATCGCAGACATTATATTTTCTGGTCTCTTCCAAATTTAAGCCTTGCTCAGGTCCCCCCAGTACATTCAACATTTCTCCAGGTCACAAGGGTTTTTTTTTTTTTTTTTTGGTTTGGTTTGGGGTTTTTTGGACATTAATTTCTGGGGACCTGAAAACGCATAACCCCCACTGGCTTTCCCAGGTTTACACTAGTGGCCTGGGTCCCCAAACTCATTGGGTGTTTTCTCCCAGGCTCTTCACAATTTTATATACCCCCCAGCCCCACCCCCAGGTTCTGCAGAGTTACACAGTGGCAAACCCTATTCAGGAAGATTTAAACATTAACCCTGGGTCCTGTGGTCAGGCTGACCAATTCGCCTGGCTCCCCAGAATGTGCACAGTGTTTTTCTGGCATTTAGGCATCATTCCCAAACAAGTGGAGCTCTCTTCCTGTGTCCCCGTAATTTTGGACGACAGGGGCTCCCGAGCTTACCACCCCTGTTCTGGGCCCCCCACACTGAAGCCCTGTTCCCCTGGTTCACCAGAGTTCGGGGCGTTATCTGCTGAGTTCCACAAATGTATTGGCCTCACCCTGGGTTCCCTAAATTTTCCACAAAGAATCCTAGGCACCCCCCACCTCCGCAACACACTAAGCCATTTCCCCGGGACCCTCAGAGTCTGAACGTTGCTTCCCATACCTCCGCCAAAATTTAGGCGTTACACCCAAAGCACGCCGATCCCCTTTCTGAATCATAAACAGTCTGCGCTCTGATCTCCTGAGTTCCACAAAATTGAGAGGATGCTTTCTGGTCCCCAAAACGCATTGATTTCTGGTCCCCCCCCCCTTTTTTTTTTTTTTTTTTTGGTGGGCCATGAAGATATGGGGCGTTCATTCCCGGGGATCTCCAAGCTTCCTTGCCACTTATCAGGTTCATTAAAATTTAGACACTTACCCAGGCCCCGAAAGCACGCGGAGCAATTATCCAAGGTGTGCTCAATTGTGATCGTGGACAGGCAGATTCCCCCAAATCACAAACCTCCCAGGTCCCCCTGGGTCAAACCACGCACAAAACAAACTCTTTCACAGAGCCTATATCTTGTTATACCAAGCTCTTTTGAGTGTCCCAGGAACCAAATATTCTGAATATTTTCTCCGCCTCATAACATTCTGAATATTAAAAAATTCCCTGGGCCCCACGAGCTTACTGACAAGAATCCAGGTTTTCTAAAACTCAGAACTGATCCCAAATCCCAGGCCAACCAACACTGGACCCTTTCCTCTATTTGGACACACTGGGCTCTCAACATTAGGCATTGTCCTCCAGGCCCCCCAAACACATTCAATGTTACACTTCTGTCACAGAAAGGCACTGATTTCTTGGGCTCCAAAGCATCCCAGGCACCCACTGAGTCACCCCAAATTTAGTCGACATTTTCTGAGTCTCCCAGACACTGCAAACCCCCCTAACCAGCTTCAGGCACTGATTCTGCAGGCCCCACCACTTAGGAACTCTGAATCCTTTCCCCATAAAACTTAGATACTGACCCTCATTTCTCCTGAGGACTTCGAAGAACTTCTTTGGATCCCCAGATTCAAAAATTATTTTTCTGGGGCCTCCAGATTGAGACACTGCCTGCCAGCCCTCCAAAATAAACTGAGATTGTTTTCCCCCCTCCACAAAAGAATTGAACTTTTTTTGAACATTGATTTATGGGTCCCCTGACTTTATGATCCTTGCCCCGAGTCCCCCTAAATTTAGGCAATTTTCCACAGGCCTCCCAAAGTGAAATTGCCCAGATACCGAAAAATATCTGGAAATCCCAGGTATTATAGGCCGCGTCCTACAAGTTTCCTTGCTACTAACCAGGTTCCCTGAAATTTAGGTACCAATCTCTATTGAACAATTTTCATGGATCCCCCAAACTTGGGCCACGTCTTCCTAGGGTTCCCCAAATGCAGACAGTGCCCAGGAAAATATATTTTTTTCCTGTTCACCAAAAATAAACTAATTGAAACCAATGTAAAAATTAAGATATAAAAGGACATTGATTTTCTGCATTCTCCAAACGTCCTGATCACACCCCAGTTTGCCCCGAATTTAGATCGTGTTTCTTGACTCTCTAAAGGACATTGAGGATTTTCTCAAAAGCCACAGCAATTATGGAAGTTACTTTCCTTGGGTGATGCAAGCGTCCAGGCCAATAACTTGAATTTCTAAGTTGTGGAAATTAATCTCCACTCTTCTCCACCGCATGGACGATTTGCCTAGATCCCCAAAATGTGTCCATTGTTTTTCTTCCCCCAGTTTTAGACAGTACGCCTCTGGGGTTCTCCCAAGTTTCACGCTGAGCATTTTCCTCGGGTCATCCCCAAACCTACTTCCCCACAAAGTGGGACCCCCCACAAACTTGCTGACCCAGATGCTGGGGTCCCCACATTTTAGACGCGGCTCCCTTGTCCCCCAGTTGCAGGGAGAAATCCCCCCCGGTCCTCAGACTCGGACTCTCTTTCTGGAGTCTCGAATTTAGTCGTGAATCGCAGTTCCCCACACCGACGCAGCCTCCCTTGGGTCCCCACTTCGGGACACTCGTTCTCTCGCCCGCAAATCAGGCGGCTCTGACTTGCGTTCCCGGCCTTTGGGCATTGTTCCCGGCCCCGCCGCGGTCTCTGCAGCTTCCCCAATCCCGCGTACCACGGGCACTGGTTCTGGGCCTCTCTGCGTCTCCTACGAAGTCCCCGGAGCTCCTCGGAGTTGGAAAATTTCTCTTGTGTTCCCCAAACACACTTGGCCCAGCAGCGTGTCCTCCAGGACGCAGGCAGTGCTTCTCCCGCGTCCAGGAAAACGACTGGGCATTGCCCCCAGTTTCCCCCAAATTTGGGCATTGTCCCCGGGTCTTCCAACGGACTGGGCGTTGCCCCCGGACACTGGGAACTGCCCCCGGGGTCTCGCTCACCTTCAGCGCGTCCACCGCCCGTTGCAGAGCGCTCGCTCTCTGTCTCGGCTCCTAGCGCGCCCGCGGACGCAGCCTCCGGCCTCCAGCCTCGCGGTGAGCTCCCCGCCGCCTCGCGTCCCGGCCCGACTCCCAAACCCACCCGCCGCCGTCCCGCCGTCCCGAGCGGCTGCCGGGGACACCGGCGCGGGGCGCGGGAGCCTGCGGCGGGCTAGCCCCTCGGCGGCCGCGCTCGCTAGGCCGGGCGCCCTGAAACCTGCGCCGCTTTCGTTTGCTCTCTGCAAAGATCACGGTCGTGGGGAAAGCGCCTCGGCGGCCCCCCGGCGGGGCAGGCAGGGCGCAGGGTAGGAGGGACGCGGAGGACAGGCGCACCCGGCTCGGGCGGCGCGGCGCCGCCAGCCGCCGGGCGGAGGACTCCGGGAGGCGCGCGCCGAGCGCGGGCGACGTGATTGATGGCGGAGCGAGGGGGCGAGCCGGGCGCGGGCTTCCGCCGCCGGCGGCCCCTTCCCCTCGGAGGGGCGCTGGCTGCCGGGGCTCCTGGGGGCGGGCGGGGCGCGGGGGCTCGTGCGTGGTTTTTGACTTGGTAAAAATCACAGCGACTTCTTACATCGTCCAAACTCTCCAGGAGATGGTTTCCCCAGACCCCCAAATTATCGTGGTGGCCCCTGGGGCTGAACCCGAGTCTACGCAAGTCCAACGCACTGAGGACGGGGGAACTATTATCCGGATATTTTGGGTGGGCCCCAAAGGCGAGCTGCTTAGATGCACCCCGGTGAGCCCGGTCATGCAGGTAGGATTTGAGCGATGTTTCCCGCCCTGCTCGTATCTCTCCCGGCAGGCGCAGCCCGGGCCGGCCCCATGCCTGGCCCAGATTCGGTCCTGGCCTGGCCGGCCCTCCCCACGTACTGCACCTGGCCGCCGCCGAGGCTACTCCCCGGTTCCCGCGCGGCACCGGGGGGCGCTCGGGCTCCGGCTGCGGCTCGAGGGGCTGCGCCTGCTCGGGCAGGTGGCGGCTGCGCGCCCCGCCCGCGCCCAGGGACTCCCCACTTCCCTTGTACATCCCAGCGGCACTCGGGGACCCCCGACCCAGTGTCGAGCCACCTGCGCCCGCATTCCGACAGGGCACCCTCGCCGCGTAGCCCCCTGGCCGGGCGCGGGGACCTGGCCGTCGCTAGGGCGTGTGACGCCGCCCAGCCTGGTCGCCCCGCGTCCCCCGTGCACTCATGCGGGGACCTTGGCACCCCGGAACCTAAGACGGGGTCCCCAAACACTTTAGAATGGCGATTCGGGATTTCTTTCGAACTCTGCCGATCCCTGCCCCCAATCCAATCTCGCCCCCGCGCACCCCACAGCCCCCCCCCCAACCGCCGCCCCCCGGGACCCCAAGCCCGCCCCCCGCCCTTGGCTCGAGTTGCGAGGGCGGTCCGGGGGCGGGGCGAGGGCCCCGCGGGCGCCCATTGGCGCGGGCGCACGGCCAGCGGGGCCCGAGCGGGCGCCGAGCCGCGGGGTGGCGCGGCTATAAGAGCCGGGCGTTGGCGCCCGGAGTTCGCCTGCTCTCCGGCGGAGCTGCGTGAGGCCAGGCCGGCCCCCGGCCCCCCCCTTCCGGCCGCCCCCGCCTCCTGGCCCACGCCCGCCCGCGCTCGGCCCGCCAGCGCCTCCACCCGGCTGGCGGCCCCGCGTCGACGCCGTCCGCCGCCACGCTGCTGACTCCCATCTCGGGCGCCGTCGGCGGGGTCGCGCTCCGCCGGCCTGCGGATCCCCCGCCGCCTCCTCCTCATCTACCTCAACGCCCGTCCCGCTTCGCCCGAGGAGGCGGTCCCCCCCGCAGGCAGTCCGGCTCGCAGGCCGCCGGCGTTGTCATCCCCCGCGCTCCCTCCCCGCCCCCCCCCGCGCCCCGCCCCGCCGCCCCCCCCCCGCCCCGCCCCCCGCTCTTCCCCCGCGCCCCCCCCTTCGCCCCCCCCCCCCCCCCCCCAGCTCCTTGCCTCCAACTCCCTCCCCTTCCACGCCCGCCCTCTCGCCTTCGCCGTCCCAAAGTGGATTAATTATACGCTTTCTGTTTCTCTCCTCGCTGTTCTCTCCCGCTGTGCGCCTGCCCGTCTCTCACTGTCCTCTCTCTCTCTCTCTCGCCCTCTCTTCGGCCCCCCCCTTTTCACGTTCACTCTGTCTCTCTCACTATCTCTGCCCCTCTCTATCCTTGATACAACAGCTGACCTCATTTCCCGATACCCTTTCCCCCCCTAAAAGTACAACATCTGGCCCGCCCCAGCCCGCAGACAGCCCGTCCTCCCCAAACAATCAGACGAGTTTCCCACCCCCCCAAAAAAGCCATCCCCCCGTTCTGCCCCGTCGCGCATTCGGCCCCCGCGACTCGGCCAGAGCGGCGCTGGCAGAGGAGTGCCCGGCAGGAGGGCCAACGCCCGCTGTTCGGTTTGCAATACGCAGCAGGGAGGTGGGCGGCCCCTGCGCCGGCTTCCAGGTAAGCTGCGTGCGGGCCGGGCCGGGCCGGGGCGGACAGGGTGGGGGGCTGTCGGTCACGTTCCGCGTCTCGAACCCCGAGCTCTGCCCTGTGCCGCGGAGGAGGGGGCGAGGGGTGGGGGGGGTGGGGTGGGGACTTGGGTAGTGCCAGGGGAGGTGTGAGCTGTCTGCAAGGCGACTTCCTGGTCGCTTTGCGGGTGCAGGGGGTGTTGCTGAAAGTTTGTGATTTGTGCCGCGGGGGCGGGGGCCGGGGGCAGTGCAACGAGGACGGGCGCAAGTCTCAGAAACCCACCCTGGTATGTTGACTCAGTGCCAGCAAGACCGAGAGAGGAAAACTGGGTGGGCGGGGCCAGGATGGAGCGAGGGGGGCCGAGTTGGCAAAAGAGTCCTGCCAGACACCGCATTCGCAGCGCACCCCCCTACAGCCTCCCTTTCCCTGTCCCCGACATTGCCAACCAGTAATCTGGAGAGAGGGCCTGGTCCAGGGCTCAAAAGGGCAGCAGTGGACAACCCAGAGAGGGTAACTGCCCCTGCCCCAGTGGGCAGATGGAAGTTTCCATACAAGGAGGTGGAAAGCAGCCCCCCTCCCTGCACCCCCGCCCCCATTTCCCGGTGCCAGGATGGGCTGGGGGTGCAGGATGAGCCCCCCCCGCCCCCCGTTCTTTGCTAAGAGATGGTGGGGAAGGCGGTTGGGGGTGCCGCAGAGAAGGGAACGGCTGGAAGGAGGGAGGGGGCGGGAGCAAAGGGGGCGGGGGGAGTGGTCAGCAGGGAGAGGGGTGGGGGTAGGGTGGAGCCGCGGCTGGGAGGAGCCGGCTCAGACATAAAAGCTGAGGCACTGACCAGCCTGCAAACTGGACATTGGCTTCTCCTCTGAGGCAGCCTTCCAGCCTCCTCCTCCCGCATCCTCTTCCTCCAGCCCCAGCGAGCCTCCTGTCCAGCTGCAGGTAACCGGGGCTGTTGAGCGAGGACCCGGCTGCCCTCCCGCTCCGGCCTCAGCCCCTTGGCCCCTGCCCGCGGCCTCCCACTCAGCCCCTTCATCCCTCCCCTCTGCCTCTGCCCTGTCGCCCCTGCCCTCCCTCCTCTGCCCGCTTGGTCACCTGGCCCGCACAGCTGCATGCCCCTCGTCTAGTCTTCTGCTCTCTGCTGGTGCCCTGGACTGGACCCCGCACCGAGTGGCTGGGCTTGCAGAAGGATGGGGCTGCCGCTCGGACGGCACCGAGTCCCTAGCTGGACAAATTTGTTCTTAGAATTTGGAGGGGGGGCGGCACTGGGCTGTCGGGAGACAGGCTGGGGTCTGGTGCAGGGAGGAGGTGAGCTGAGCCAGGCGGCAGCTCCCATCTTCCACGGAGCTGGCCCTGCTCGTCAGGAGCTTAAGCGAGACTGTGCTTCCTTCACAGCCCCTCATTTCCTACACGATTTATTGCATCAAAATTCCCCTGGGCCCAGCATGCAGCAGCCTTGCTCCAGGCTGGCAAGGGGCGTGCTGCTCGGTGCCTCTGTGCTCACTGGGTGTGCAGCCTAAGAGGGACACACGTGGGCAGCTCCACCCAGGCCCTTACTAGGGTAGCCTGTGGGTGCCACGGGGCTCAGGGGCACCCGGCCGTGACTGTCCTCCCAGAAGGGGCTCGTACCTGGGCCCGCAGAGGGCAGGCTGGAGCTGCCTGCCTGGGGGGCTTCCACCTTTTGGAGGGCTAGGGGTGGCTTGCTGTGTCCTAAGAGGAGTCAAGGTCCCTTTCAAGCCCCCCGACTCCTTAGGGGACCTGGTTAACCCTTGCCCCAGGTCTGCAGCCACAAAACCTTGCGAGGGGGTGTGTCTTGAGATGCGCCTCTCCTTCTAGGTGGTACCCTGAGGGACTGGGGGTCTGGCCTCTAGGTGGCCTGACCTGTTCTCTCCAGCTCCTGGGGTGGGGTTGGGTACCCCAAATGGGGAGAGGGCCTGGTGGCCCTGGAGGGACTTTGAGGTCCCTGGCCCTGGGTGGTGTGATGTGAGGCCTGGAAAGGAGGCTTTTGGCTTTTATGTGTGTTTGGGGTGCCCAGGGCAGACTGGAGTCGAGGGACTAAGTGATGTAGGAGAAGGTGGCTCCTGGGAGCGTGGCTGGCACCGCCGTGCTGACCGTCGGACCCTTGACCCAGGCTTTGCTCAGCCGCAGACTGAGAGGGTGGGAAAGGCAGTGCGGGAGGGAGAAGGGTGGTGCTGGCCCAGCAGAACCCCCCTGTTGCTTTGGGAGGGAGGCTGGACCCTTGCTTAGCCGGTCCTCTGAGATGCACATGTCCTGTGCTGGGGTGGGGCCGTCTGCCATCTTGGCTGGCGCTGGGAGGCCCGAGGAGTGGCCGCTGCCCTGTGCCGGCCCCGCCCCCATGACATCATAGGATGGAGGCCAGGTCCAGTGTCCAGCACTGGCCCCTGCAGCTCTGGGTGTGGCTGAGCCCCTGCAGTAATAACGATGGGGATCCCCACGTGAAATTACTGACTAGCACTTGGTGCCCCTCAGAGGTGTGCCCCGCACACAGCCCTTCACGCGGGGCAGCTCTGCATCCTGCCTGCGTCAGCAGTGGAAGCTCCAGCTCTTCTGTAATTAAAACAATTAAGATCAAGGAGAAAGCCGTGCTTTAAAGCTGTAACTGGACTTTAAATTAGGAGATGGCTGGGCTTAGTGTCCCCGAAGGGAGCAGGCCCTCATCCCCTTGCTGGGCCAGCATTTCGGGACGCCCTGGCTGGTGGGCAGTGGGAGGGGCCCGGGCCTGGACGTGGCGGGGCGGTGGGCTCACGCCTCTTGTCTCCGCCCGCAGACACCAATGGGGATCCGAGTGGGAAAGTCGATGCTGGGGCTGCTCGCCTTCTTGGCCTTCGCCTCGTGCTGCTATGCTGCTTACCGCCCCAGTGAGACTCTGTGCGGCGGGGAGCTGGTGGACACCCTCCAGTTTGTCTGCGGGGACCGCGGCTTCTACTTCAGTAAGTAGCTCAGTGGGGCGAGGGCGGAGGGGTGTACACAGCTGGTGCTCGATAGATGCTGGAGTCCTCCTTACCGCATGTCAGGCACCTCTGCAGGTCCTTCAGCACACCTGGCCTGGGGGTCGGGCCCAGGGAGGCCCCTCGGAGGTGAATGAGCCCGGGGCCCTTGCTCTGAGACTTGGAGAGCGCAGTCACGCCCTTGCAGTCCACATTTATTAGGCACTTACGGTGTGCTTGGGCGGTGCCCGCACTCCCTGATTTCTTGCAGCATGACTCAAGGTGGGAGGGAGAGTGGACGGTGGTATCTACAGGGGGACCAGACCTTAAGTGGCAGGTGCGGGTGGGGTGCAGAGTGGGCTGGAGGCCGGGCTTCCGGGCGGGGTGACCCAGGCCCCCGCAGGGAGGCAGCCCTTCCCCTCCTGCTTCTCCCTGACCTGCCCACGGGCAGGGCTGCGGGCACTGGTTTCCCCGCACGTTTTGCCCGCATCTTGGCAATGGGCAGATACCCGTGGATGGTTAGATTTTAAATGGAATCAAATGGGTTGAAAACCAATCAGAATAAGAGCACGCGTTGCTGGCGGCGTGAGTGTGCATGGCCACGTGCTGGGGCTCGCTCGGCTGCGTCCGCAGGAGGGGACCGCCAGGGCCCCCAGGCCTGGGTGGGATCCGCACCCGAGGCGCAGGGCACAGTGCCGGGTGCCCGCCTGCTGGCCCGAGTGCTTTGTCTCTTCTTCGCCCTCCTCTCTGATTCCCGACCTGCGGGAGCTGGCTGGGCACATGGAGACCTCTGCTCTCCCTTGCCCCTGTGCCCTGTGTGGCAGGGCGGGTCCCCTGTTGGAGGTGAGCTCTCCTTCGGGGTGTGGGCTCTTGCCCTCGCTTCCCAGCAATCTGGGCCTCAGTTTCTTTAACTGTAGGACGGGTCAGGGGAGTTCTGGAGAGTGTCCATCTGGATAACGGGAGAAACTGGGGAGCAGTTTCTTGACCCTCAAGGGGGGAGGGCGTGTGTGCTCCCCCCTGGGCTCAGCCAGACCCCGCTCAGGGCTGGGTGTGGGTGGGGACATGGCCGGGGCAAGCAGACGGTGGCCGTTAGGCTCGTCGTAACCAGCCCATCACCCACCACAAGGCACCTTCTTCTGCAGCCTTTACTTACCCACCCTCTGAAATGGGCCGAAAATGCCCGTCTTGCATGTCAGAGCTTCTCTTTAAAAAGCATTCCTGCTTCTTGACGCTTCTGAGGCCCCTGCCTGCCCTGGCTTCTCCTGTGGCCTCTGTCTCCTGCCACATTTGGGGGCAGGAGATGGCACCGTACGGTCTGGTGCTGGCTGGCCCTTGCCCGGGGAGTGGCCCCCTGGCACCAGGTTTCCCTGAAAGGAGGGCCGGGCTGAGCCCCCAACCCTTTCGACCCTGCACCTGGACCCCTTACTAGGGGCTCCTCTCCCTCCCCCCACTGATGGCGGAAGGCAGGCCGGGGGCTTTTCCTTGCAGCTGAGTCTGGAGCCTGTGCGTGGAGGAGAGGGGGAGGACGGGAAGAAAGGAGGGCGTGGTTTTTGCAGGTCCTCACTCCTCTCCTCCCGTCTTCTCCTTCTTCCTCCCATTCCTACCTGTCTCGGCGGCGTCTCTAGGGCCGCAGGCACCCAGGCTCCTGGTTGGTTCGGGGATGGCACTTGGGTCCCAGTCGGCCTTTGGGTCAGGACCCTGGGATCCCAGGATGTGGGGCCGGGCCCCGTGCATTTTCCAAACAGCCCCTGGTGGTGGACCAGGAGGCCGTGCCCACTTTACATACGACGAGGGAGGCACCGAGAGGCCAGGGGGCTGGTCCTGGAGCGCGCTCACCCCGCTGTCCCTTCTCTCCTTTCTGGGGCCCCTGCGCGCCCCCCTCTCGCTTTCTTCCTTCCCTCCAGGCCGAGGCCGGCTGTCCCTGCAAGGTGACCGGCATCCTGTCTCAAGGGCAGGGGCGGGGGGCTGGCTGGAGGAGCCCTGGGGAGCCCCCTGGGGCGCTGGTGCTGACGTGCCCTTTCCTTCCTCCTGTGGGACTTCCAGGCAGGCCGGCAAGCCGCGTGAACCGCCGCAGCCGTGGCATCGTGGAAGAGTGCTGCTTCCGCAGCTGCGACCTGGCCCTGCTGGAGACCTACTGTGCCACCCCCGCCAAGTCCGAGAGGGACGTGTCGACCCCTCCGACCGTGCTTCCGGTAAGGCGGCCCCCCCAGCTTGGGCCCGTGGACGGCCCCCCAGCTCTGGGCCTGTGGGCGGCCCGGCCCCTGTGAGGGGAACCGGCGTCTCCGGGACCCTCCCCCTCTCTGGAGCCCCTCGGGGCTGTTACCTCTAAGCCAGGGGACCAGGGCGCGGCAGCTCCTTAGCTGGAAGCGTGGCTAGGGAGTCCTTTACATGTTTGCCACGTGCCCCCCCCACCCCCGCCCCGCTGCAACCGTGGTGGTGTTGACCAGAAGCCGGGGGAGTTACTGACCTGTCACACGTCGGGCACGCTGCAAGGTTTAGGGACAGCCCCCAGCAGATTGCCCAGATGTCCCCCCGGGGCCTGGGTGGCTTGGGAGCAGGGGCTGGGGGCCAGGCACCCCTTGACCGGCCCTTCCCCTCTCAGGACAACTTCCCCAGATACCCCGTGGGCAAATTCTTCCAATATGACACCTGGAAGCAGTCCGCCCAACGCCTGCGCAGGGGCCTGCCTGCCCTCCTGCGAGCCCGCCGGGGTCGCACGCTCGCCAAGGAGCTGGAGGTGTTCAGAGAGGCCAAGCGTCACCGTCCCCTGATCGCCCTGCCCACCCAGGACCCCGCCGCCCACGGGGGCGCCTCTCTTGAGGCGTCCGGCCATCGCAAGTGAGCCAAATTGTCGTAATTCTGCAAAGCGGCACCACCCACTCGTGACCTCCTCTTGACCGGACCTTTCCATCAGGTCCCACCGCTGAAACCTCTGTACCGTCCTGTCTGCGGGCTCCCCCGACCTGGCCCCCGTGCCCCAACCTCCCCACGTCAGGCTGGTCTCTCCTCGGCCCCCTCCATCGGGCTAAGGGAATCACAACAAAATCTTTAAAAATGTACAAAACCAATTGGCTTTAGCTCTCTCTCCCAAATTATCACCCCCAAATTACCCCCAAATTACACAACCAAAATTGCAATCACAAACGTGTTGGCCCCCTTGAAACGAATTGGCTTCTTAGCAACACCGGAAAAGCTAACTAGCTTTCCAGAAAACCCTAAAAAAAAAAATCAATTAGCTGAAAAAAAAAATACTAAAAATAAATTGGCTTCAAAACAATTGGCAAAATAAAAGAATTTGGCCCCCACCCTTCCTTCTCGTTCCTTTCGGACCTGGACTTCAATTGGCTGTGAGCTGACCATCCAAGAGAAAGGAAGGCACCAAATTTGCAGGTAGGCTTGTCACTGCTTGCCAGCCATCTCCCTCCTTCACCAAACCCTCGCTGGGCTCTGGCCGTGTGACACCAAAGACCCAAACCTGTTCCTCCCCGTAGTTTCCATCACTGAGACCGCTGTGGAGCAGTGGGGGGGCCCAGCAACACCCGAGGAGCGGTGCACGGAACAGAAAACCCGAATTCGCGCAGATAAAACTTAATTGGCATAAACGCCCACACACTCCAAAATCTTACGTCTGAATTGTCACCTTTGAAAGCACGCACACCCACAGGCAACCCTGCACGCGCACGCACGCACACACACACACACACACACACACACACATCCACAGCCCTCACATGCATCCACACACGCACACACACCCAGATATGAGGGATACCCACACCCAGCATTGCACAGATGAGACCGCATTCCATCCCAAATTCTTCTCTAAGCTGCCCTGCGATGAGGTTTTCACGTCCTGTGCTCCTCTCTGGTCCCCTGGGATGCGCCCTAGGGTGGGAGGGTGTGTGTCCCAGGCTCAGGCGCGGGTGGTTCCATCTTTCCGAGATGAGGAAGATCCCCCCTCCTTCTCGGCACCCGTCCTGACCCCACGGCACCTGCAGTGAGAGTCCCGATGCCCCCAGACCCCACTGGCATCCACGCACCTACTATCGTGCCGAACGAGGAACGGGTTTGGCCGGAGTGGAGATGGTTGTGGCCAAGCAAGACATGCCCTGCCGCGTCGCCTGACCCCCTAGGTGTGCTCCTGCGAGATCTGGGGACCCCCCCAGCACACCTAGGGCTCACCTTTGCCAGCCTCCTGGGGGAGCCTGTCAGAAATTAGGGCCCCCTGGAGGCTGGCAAGGGTCATGGGGAGTGTGGGAAGTCTGGAGGTTGGTGGGGTGGGTGGGGGGGCAGTGGGGGCTGGGGGGGGATGCTCTGAGGTAGGAAGTGGTCCAGCAAGGGTTTGGACAAAACGGTCAGGAGGAAGGATTGACGAGGAGACGTGCAGAATTACAGATCGAATCAGGAACCCAAATTGACGCCAATTGATCTATTTCCCCCCTTTAATTGGCTTCTCCTGGGGCTTTTTTCCTTTTTTTTTTTTTTTTATCCCTCCTTAGCTTTTTACGCGCTCATGTACCAAATTAAACTTACTCCCCTCCCCGTGTAACAGGGGGGCAGTGACCAAGGACAAGGAACGCATGAAGCCAACCACCCGTCACCTCTGCGGCACCCGCCGCCGTCCTGCCCTCCGCCATTTATCACCCTTGGTTTGATTTTTGCCTGTCCCTGTCGCTTGGGTTGAGTGGAGAGTGGAGCCTCCGCGGGGGTGCTGGCCACTGTGCCCCCCGAGAAGTCAGAGGGGAATGGAGACGGCCGCTGCCTGGCCTGGCCCCCGGGGACGGTGGCTGGTCCCCGGGGGTCCTGAGGGGCGGAGGAGGGGGCAGGGAGGCGTCTCTTGAGGTGTCAGGAAGGTGCTCGGAGGCCACCAATGTGGGGCCCCCGGCCCAGGCGGCCGGGGGGGGGAAGGGGCTACAGATGCTCACGTGAGCAAGGGGCTCCATCGGGCGGGAGCAGGTGGCCGCCTTCCGCGCACCTGGGGAGCCCTCCCCGCACCCCTCGGTGACAGCTTGCCCGCCTCCTCAGTGCCCCATCTGGGCCCCAGGAAGCTCGGAGCTCCGCGGGGCTTCCTGGTGACCAGGTGGGGTGATGCCGGGCAGTAGGAGAGGTCCGGAGGGCACGAGCCCCGCAGAGCAGGAGAGCTGCGAGTGTGTCTGACAGCTGGGGTCGCTTTGGCCCCGAGGCCCTTGGGTCTGGCGGTACTGACCCAGCCACCATCTCAGCGCCTAAGGCTGCGGCAGGGACCCGGGCAGCTGGGAGGTTTACCTCACCCCCGCCTCTGCCCCCAGTGCAGCCCCCCTGCACGGCAGCCCGACTAGCAATCTAGAGGCCCGAAGTTTCTGGGCCCCGGTGACGGGGCTGGCACGACCCAGGGGGCGGTCCGTGCCAGCCCACCCAAGGCACAGAGGGTCCCCCGGCCAGCGCCCAGGGAGTGGGCCATTTGGACCATTGGACAGAAGCCCAAAAATCCAAATTGTCTTAATCGGAGAAGCCAGACGGATTGGCCTGAGATCCAAACTGCTTTCGAGGCACCCCAAATTACCTGCCCACTCAGCCAGACGCCACCCACCCAGCGTTCCGTTTGCCTCGATTGGGTGGGGGCTCCGGGGGCGTCTGCCGAGGCTCCTCTGTGTCCCCCAGTGAGCAGCTCTCTGTGGGTCATCGCCATCCGACCCGGGCCCCTTCCGACCTCCACGCCCTGGTTGTGGCCCTCCATCATGTCTCTTCCCCAAGTCCCCCCAGCTGTCTTCAGCGGGACCCCCTCTTGGGTCTCTACACCATCATCTGAGGACCCCCACGCGCAGAACACCGAGTGTCACCTGCCGCCCAGTCCATCCCGCGGCCGTGTTCGCCTCCACTCGCCCCTAACATGCTATTTCTGGCAGAATCCACAGCTTGGGTTTTGTCTTTAACTTTTAACGCTCGCAATCCCAAATAAAGCATTTAAATTTATTTTCTTCTGAGTCCTCTGCTTTTTCACTTGGGTACCTGGTGGAGGGAGGGAGGGGAGGTCTGAGCCCTGGGGAGGGGGCAGGGGAGGTTGGGAAGGGGGGACAGGAAGACCCTGCAGGTGGGGACACCTCCTCTGGGCCCCTGCGGGATTCAATATACAGGTTCAACAGCAGACTAGATAAAGCAGAAGAAAAAAATCTGTGAACTCAAAGACAGGGCAGCAGAATTCATTCGATCAGAGAAGCAAGAGGAAAAAAAAAATAGGACTCTTGGAACAGTGATGGGGTGCAGGGAGGACAGCCCGAAGGCCTGCAGCTCTCAGCGGTGGTACCACCACTATCGTGGATCTCGGGAGGCTCTGGGACCATCTCAGGGACCAAATCCTCAAAGACAGGGCTCCAGGCGACCGGAGGGGTCCCGGGGGACTTTTCCAAGAGCCCACTGAGGAGTGAACTGCTGTCGCTGTCTGTCAACCCCAGGGAATTTTCCCAGCCTCGGGGGACAGGGGGAAGGGCGTGGGCCAGGTTCTGAAAGGTTCTGGAAACTAGCTTTTGCTACAGATGGGGACTCAAGGCTACCTGTCACCTGTGTGCCCACCTGCACACGCAGATGTGCTCCCCGTGCCCCCAAGATTGAGGCCGCATCAGAGGGCACTGGAAACCCCCTCCCCTGCTCAGCCCCGCACCGCAGCCCAGACCACTCTGACCACTGACCTTTAGGGTCCTCATGCCCCTCAGAAGGCAGTGAGGCTGGCATCCACAATGCTCGAGGCCTGCCCGGGCCCTCCCCTCACCCCACCTATCCCCAAGACCCCGGTCAGCAGGTGTGGCCAGTGGGGAGAGGGCGGTGAGCTGTGCCCGGGGACTGGGCAGCCTTCAGTGGGCGCCCAGGGCTCTCAGCCCCTGTCTGGGTTGGGGTGAGGCCTTGCACCTGAATCCGCTCACTCCGTCTCTGGAACTCATTGCCGGCCTGGTGCTGGGCTGTGGCCTCTGGGGTCTGGATGGCGTCCCCAGGAGCGGCCATGCTGCCCAGGCTCCCTGAGAGCTCAGCCACGGGGTGGGGAGGGGCTGCCTGGAGGAGGTGGGATCAAGAATGAGGAGGGCTGGGAAAGTGGGAAAGAGTGAGCTGGATAGGGGCGCACCGTGCCCTCTGGGCAGCCGGGGCCCTTCAGGGGAGCCTGGGGGCCAGGGTGGGGCAGAGGGCCCCCCACCCACCCAAGGAGGTGCTGAGACATTCCCGGGGGGGTAGGGTGTGGACCCAGCTCGGGACCCTCTGCCCAGCCCTGCCCACCCTCAGACCAAGTTGGAGTCTGTCTCCTGCCAACACCAGGTAGGACCCACCCCCGAAAGGTCCACTGCAGCCCTGCCCGGGGCCCCTCCCGGGACGCTTGGGATGCTGGGCCAGGGTCTCCCTTCCTGCAGCTCTGGGCAGGCCCTGCCCTTCCCAGCTGCCCCATCACCCAGCCTGTTCACCCTCACTGCAGCCCATTCGCCCATGCCTCTGCCCCCACCCTGCTTTCCCCAAGACCGCCACGACCAGGGCTCAGCCAGCCCTCCCGCGGCTCTCCTGAGTTAGCCCCAAGCCTCCCCCACTCCACTCTGCTTGGCCCAGCCGTGTCCCAGGTGCCCTGGATCTGCCCAGCCTCTCCACGCGCTCTGCAAGCTTTCAGCTTACCCCGGGGCTCCATGCATCCATTCACTCATCCACTCATTCACACGTGTGGATGAGCACCCATGTGTGGGGCACCCCAGGCTCGGTGTCACGGAGGGGATTACTGGGGTGCTTTTTCCAGTGGCTAGACCTCATGGAGAAAGTGACTCAGGAGGTGAGGGTGGGGGCGGGTCTCCTGGGAGGAGGGGTGAAGCAGGACCTGGGGAGTCCGGGGCTGGGGCTGGGGCTGCCGCGGGGGGCGCGGGGGAAGTGTGGGAGATGAGGTCAGAGGCCCATATTTATGGGCACCTATGGGGGTGGGCTGAAAGGTGTCCTCCCCAAAAAGACGTGTCTACATTCTAGACCCCTGCGAATATGCCCTGATTTGGAAAAAGGGTCTTTGCAGATGTGATGAAGTGAAGGATCTGGAGGTGAGACTGTCGTGGATTTAGGGAGGGCCCAGATCCAGGGACGGGGGCTCCTACCATGGCAGAGAGGAGAAAGGACACAGAGGAGGGGCCGTGTGAAGACAGAGCAGAGATTGGGGGGATGCGGCCACAAGCCAGGAGCCCCCAGAAGCTGGATGAGGCAGGAAGGACCCTCCCCTAGAGCCTCCGGAAGGAGCCTGGCCCTGGACGCCTTGAGTTGCGTCCAGTGAAACTGATTTCAGACCTCTGGCCTCCAGGACTGAGAAAGAATGAATTTCTATAGTTTTAAGCCACCCAGCTTGTGGTTGCTGAGGAAACGAGTTAGGCGAGGGCACACCTCCTCTGCCTGGCCCTGTTCCAGAGGCCGAGGGCACCGCAGTGAGCCCAGCAGGTGGCCACGCCCGCACCCCCCTCAGGATGGTCCCTTCCCGTCTCCACTCCTGACCTCCACGCGGAGCGCAGGTGGTCTCTTAAAACATCAGACCAGGTCCCACCTCTGCTCTTGGCTTCCCTGGAGACAAACCGAGTCCTCACGATGACTTGCAAGGCCACCCTGGCCCACCCACCGCTGGGCTGGTTGAACGCACATGCATGGTTCTGCCTCAGGACCTTTGCACGGGCTGCCTCTGCCTGGACCCCTTTCCCTGCCGGCACCCACCTGGGCCCGGCCCTCATCACTTGGTGCTGAACTGCACCCCCTTCGGGGAGGCCTGCCCAGAACACCCTCTCAGGAGCGCTCCATGTGTTCCGGTCCCCCGACCACCTGCTGAGTGAGGAGGACAGGGGGAGGGCGGGGGGACACCAAGGCTTGACCGTGAGCCATGGGAGGAGACTGAGTTTGCTAAGCTGGAGGCACTGGACTTGCTTCCCCGCTGCTGACCCCACCTGTGTCTCCCTCCACCTGGTGTTTTCACCTGAGCTGCAGCATGGCACCTGCTGGGGCCTGTTCAGCTGCCTCAGTGTGCTGCAGACCCTTGACCAGAGCACGCTCACGGCCACCACCCCGCACCTGCTCCAGGGTCCTCTGCCCCCTCCCGCCACGTTCAGTTGGTCGCCAAGGCCCACTGGAAGCTGGACGCTGCTCCAGTCTCTGCTCCAGGCACTCTGCATGTGCGACTAGGCAAGCTTGCTCTGCAGGCCCACAGCTTGCTGCTCTCCCCTTAGGACCCTCCATGGCTCCCGTGGGCCACTGGGTAGAGGGCAAACGCCAGGCCAGGCTTTCCTGGGGTCTTAAGCACCTGGCACCCTCCGGTTTCTCGGTGGGTCGTGTCTCGGTCCCCACCGCCCGACCCCTCAGGCTTCACACAGGCGGGCTGCTCTCTCCTGGCCCCTCTAACCCCCCGCCCTCGTGCCCTCTCCATCATGCTGTGCTGCCCTGGCTCACCAACCCCCCACTCCTGGGTCTCTGGTGTCCAGAGCTGCCCCTCCCGTGTGGACAGCGGTCTGGCATTCAGCCC